GAGGTCGTCTGTCATTGCCTTCCTCCACAGTCTTCCTTGGAGGTCTCCCTTCCAAGTGCTGAACTCTGCTTAGCTTCTGAGCTTACAGCATGCTGCCTTCCTTCCTGCTGAGCTCCCAGATCTCTGCTCCCAGATCTCCAGGAATTTCCAAATATGAAGCTGGCAACCCTATTTTCAACCCTGGTTTAGGGATCCTGTGTGTGTATACACAAGTACATGGTTTGTGCAATATGTAGCAAAAAGGAGAGAGAGTCTTCTAAGTTATAAGACCAATAAGAGCCAATAGAAAAATTGAAAGAAAAAGCCCAGGTAAACAGCAATTTCAAGCAAAAATACTTCCAAGCAACCCTAGTGGTATAATAATGATATGCAGATTATGTCTCAGTTGTACCTAGTCCAACTGGAGCCCTCCTGTGGATGCACAGGAATGTCCCTAGGAGGGGGTGTTGCTGATTGTGACATGAACTTGCTGGCCACAGAGAGTGAGGTGTATGGTAAGAGGTTTTAGGAAGGCTGTCAGTTGGAACAATGTCCCTACGGGAGGAAGTAAGAAGAGCCTCAAAGAAGAAATGGACAGATGTAGGGAGCAAACTGGGGATGAGAAGGTGACAGCAGGGAGTTGCAGTGTGAAGATATGAAATGGAAAGGCAAAGGAGGGGTAGATGGCAGGGCAGGAAGACAGATGGGCGAGAGATTCAAATGATACATTGTTTTGTTCCTGAAGTGTGAGCATAGAGTCATCATGTCAATCTGGGTGGTTTTTTTGGGGGGTGGGGAGATCACTTGGGCTAAAGGATTGCAAGTTCCCACAGAAACCCAAATGCCTTATCATGAGATGGCATTTTATCCAACTTTGTTTCTTCCAAGGGTTGATTAAAGGTCTTTGTCTATGCTAAAATGGCCACGGGATAATAGAGGTTCAAGGGTAACAGTTCCATTGGATGACTGAATTCTAGTAAGTTTAATGATTATTTCTATTCACCTTGGCCATAGCATTCCATTTTTGGACAGAAAATTAGGATATAAGGGATTAAATGAATAAATAATGAACATGTAAAGATTAAATCCCAGAATGATAACAAACCAACCTGTTTTGGAGAGGAGATAAGACAAACTCTGGAAATCTTTCTTAAACACCCTACATTTGCCAATACTTCTCTTGCTGCCATCTGAATCTTATTTCTCCAGTATAGTCATCTGTGGCCTTCGCCAGCTTGGGAGTTCCATCAAACAGTTGGCCTTACATTAAAGTCTAATAAAGTGGGTTAGATCTAATGACTCTCTTCTGTGTAACCTTCATTTGCCAGAGAAAGTCCTTTTTGGTCAGTGGAAGTCTTAGTGGAAGGGAAGTAATCTGATCTAAGAGAATTCCCTTTTGAGGGATTAAAGATGACATCATGCTGTTAACTAGTGGGGGCGGGGGAGGGGAAGGAAAATGTTGCTGAATAGGGAGTAAGGGAAGAGATTAGCCCAGGAACATTAGAAGAGATTGGATTTATACCCTGCCCTTCACTACCCAAAGGAGTCTCAAAGCAATTTATTTATTTATTTATTTTATTCAATTTATACCCCGCCCTCCCCGCTACACGGGCTCAGGGCAGCTTACAAGGGCTTTCCCTTCCCCTCCCCACAACAGACACCCTGTGAGGTAGGTGTGGCCGAGAGAGCTCTCTTTGAGAATTGCCCTTGAGAGAACAGCTCTGAAAAAATTTATGAGTGACCCAGGATCACACCAGCAGCTGCATGTAGAGGAGTGGGGAATCAAACCTGGTTCTCCCAGATTAGAGTCAACGCTCTTAACCACTACACCAAACTGGCTCTCATTAGCCTCCATTTCATTTTATGTAAAACAATGTGGCCATTTCCAAATATTCTTTGTGCTGTTATGAGGACAATAAATTCTAACAGCTCGCTTCAAACATTGTATTGCATACGTTTTCTAATAAGTATTGCACACACACAGTATCACTTTCTGGTTAAATAAGCCATTTCAGTTTATCAAGGTGCAGAAACTTAAAAGGACAGAATGCCAGTTTGATATCGTGGAGATAGTGAGGGATTTCAGACAGACGATATAATCCGGAAGAGGAACGGTTCCTGGTCTGTCAGTTCAGACAGAACCGTTTTAGAACCGGTTCCCTACCGGAATATATTTGTAATTTCACACACCAACACTTCTGTCCCGTTTAGGAAACAGGGCTGAAGCGTTTTACCTGTCAACCGCTTCCAAGTAGTCTTCAGTTTCCTCTCCTGGTTCCGATGCGCTTTTCCCCGCTGTTTTTTGCCTGCGCAGGTGATCTCTGGCTTTTTTTTGAAACGTTTGCTTTATATCATTATAGCGCTATAATGGTATAATGCTAAAAAAAAGCCGGACATAGCCCGTGTGGGTGAAAAACGGCGGGGGAAAAGCGGGAAAAAGCAGTGCAGTCTGAAATGGCAAACCCCTTCAGATTCAGCTCTTTACTGGATGGGGAAAGCCATGTGTGAAATGGCAGCCCTATACCGGTTTACTCCATGACGGATCAAAAACGGCTTCAAAACGGGTTAAAAAGGGTAATGTGAAATTCCTGTGTTTGGAGACCTAGCTTCAAACTCCACTTCATCCATGAAGCCCACTGGGAGACCCTGGATCAGTCACTTTGTCTCAGCCCAACTTATCTCAAAAGGTCACTGTGAGAATAAAAGGGGAGGGGGAAGGCAAAGCCCCACAGTTTGATCCAAGATCTTTGGAATTGGGACAGAAAAAAGTTCAGTACTAATAAAAAATGTGTTCATTTTATTAGTCATATGTGTACCTGACACACAGTGTTTCCATTATTAACAGGGTGCTCAGCATTACACCCATCATATTGTTTGTCTTGAGGCAGATACAAACATTTTGCATCACTGCGAACAAATTATCTATATATCTAATCCTCAAGTTGCCCCCGTGCGTGCGGATACTTAAATCCGTGCACCGGGGGAACCTGGGGGGAGGGAGAGTTTTGGGCACACGTGGGGAGGTCCCGACGTCTGCACAAAAATCTTAAAAGTGTGAAAAACTTCCTGGGGGTCCTTAAATTTGCATGCGCGGGGAATGCTCTTGGAACGGGGGCTGGAGTTTGCGGCCTGCAGGAGGGGCGGCGCGTTCTTTCCCTCGCCCCCAGCCCACCTTGGCTTTCTGCGGGGCCTCGATCCTCTTCGCCGGCTTCCTCTCCTCTGTCGGCGTCGCCTCCCCCGTCCGGGCCGCAGCGTCCCCGGCCCTTCAGCCTCCTGATACGGTCGGCGGTCGGGAAAGGTGGGTGGGCGGGGCTGAGGCGGCGAGCGTGCAATCTGTTCCCGTGGAGGAAGAGTCGCCGCTGCCCCTGACTAGGCCGAGGGAGGAGGGCCGCGCCACGGTCGCCCGCTGGGTCTCCCTCCAACAGGGAAGGGGGGGAGGAGGAGGACGACGCGCATTCCCGTCAGCCGTCGCTACCGGGCTCCCCGGTTCAGCCCCGACCTCGGTGTGCAGTGTCTCCCCCCCACGCCGCTACTGGGCTCCCCGGTGTAGCCCCGACCTCGGCGTGCAGCGTTTTCCCCCCGCCGCCACTACCGGGCTCCCCGGTTCAGCCCCGATCTCGGCATGCAGTGTCTCCCCCCCCACCGCCGCTACCGGGCTGCCCAGTTCAGCCCCGACCATGGCGTGCAGTGTCCCCCCCGCGAGTATCGCGAGTCCGCCACTTGTACTCTATAAAACTCATACTGCCACTTTTCAAGGATCTTGCACACGTTCCATACAGCTTGCTAAAAGAATTTTTCAAGGTAAAAAAACAACTTGCTTTGCCTTCTAGACATTACAGCTGCTGCTACAATTTGTAAATGGAATGATTTGTTGGTCCACCTTTAAATCATCTGTTGAGCTAGCACAACATATTGCTCACGTGGGCTGCTCCACAAGGTATGCACGGAATGTTGAGCTGCCCCCCTGCTAAAGCGAAGGACAGATACTGAGAGCTGAATTACACATAGTCGCTACTAGTTAGCTTTCCCCCCAAAGGTTTTATTTGTTGATCCAAACGTAAATCACCCCCTCTCCCACCCTGATTTTTGATCACAGTGAAAATAATACAGGTGCTTACATGGTGCATGTGGGGAACCTCATGAATCATGCTCCAATAACATTTAGACTAGGGCTTTTTCGTTTGTAGCTCTGTCCTATTGGAACGAGCTTCCTGCCAAGATCAGGGCCCTGTGGGACTTGTCACAGTTCCACAGGGCCGTGAAAACAGAACTTTTTAGGCAGGCCTTCCGCTAGGAGCGATGTCCTACCAGCAGTGCCCTGTGCGAACTCCAATCCAACACAACCTAGCACGGTGCCACCGCTGAATGTGTCCCTAAACTGTATTTTTATCGCCATCGAATTAATGTTTTATATCGACTAGTCTGTGTTTTTAAATGATGTATTTTACTCTATTACTGTAAAATGTATACTGCTTATTAGTTTTTGGAAGCCGCCCTGAGCCGGCCTGGCGGGGAGGGCGGGGTAGAAGTGAAATAAATAAATAAGAGTGGCCTCCTTGGCCTGGTTTAAGGCAAAAATAAAACCACTGGGAGACCCAGTTATGGATTGTTACATCATGTGAAAACTGCCCCCTAACTGCTTAGCTCTAGGTTAGGGCAAAAGTGTCACACTCACAGATATTAAATCACATGAGGATTGCAAGTGTGATCTCAACCAAAAAAGACAAAAAATGATACATTCCTGCATCTAGTTGCATTTAATACAAGTTTAGTTATACTATTCTGAATTGGCTTTTTTGAGAGTTTCAGCCCACATAATAAAAAACAAACTTTAAAAGTGTTTTTGAATCTGTCTTTGAACAACTCTCACATTAGCCTATTAGTATTCTTATGAATGCCAAATAGATCTGTTAAAAACATATATTTTTGGTGGTGACAAAAGAAGATATTTCACATAGTAGGGTGACTATATCTCAAGTGAATCACCATGCCATCCAACTAGTCAACAAAAACACAGATCATATGAAAGAAATTTTTAATTTTTATTTTACATATTTGTACATAAAACTTTCAAGGTAACTCTTTCAACCCAACTGCATGTTAATAGCACATCTAAAAATGAATGCCAGGTAGTCAACATTCACAAAATGTTGAAAACTGATTAAAATATACATATTACTGAAAGCTACAACTTCACTATGAGGCAGGCATGTATGTTTTTTTCTTTTAACTTGTATAGCACCGTCAAATTACAATTTCATTTGTTTTAAAACTACGGTGAAACAATAAGTAGTAGTTAATGGTAAAATACTGTTTAACTTAAAAAAAAATCTAAAATAAACAAAAATAAAAAGTTCAACTACCCTCTCTTCTTCTTTCATGGTTTGCAATGTTTATAAGTACTGTACATTTTGTTCTACAATAAGATTATTGAACTGTCCAATATTTAGTGGCACAAGTAAAAAAAATAGCAAATAAATTAAAAAGCATGTAGGCCAATCACCGGACATAAAGCTTCAGACATTGGGAGCAATTCACCAAGCACTGTTGCTGCGCATCCACTGTTAGTTTCAAGGGGGGGCTCGTGCGGGGTTCCTGGTGCCTAGGAGATTGTGCCCGGAATCAATGACTAACACTGATTTCTTGTGCACCACCCGTGGAGCGTCAGCGTTTGTACAACCACAGAAGCAAAAAAAAGTTCTAGCTCTTTCTCTCGTCTGATGGCTTCTCATTCTATTTTGTCGGCATTTTCTCTGCCATGTGCTTCTGCTGACTCTCAGCGTGTCTGAAGAGAAATGGGGAAAGCTTAGTCATTAAAGACGAAACAAGAAATGATTCTTTTTTACATGCAATATTGAGAGGAAGCAGGAACAAATAACATCCAGTAAAGAAACTCAGTGTCTCTTCAGGTTAATTTAGTGTTACAATCCTTTTGCTGCAATTACCTAGCCAACTGAAATGATCCTATTAATCAGACCACTCTGGGCTACAATTCCAGCATGGGGAAAAATTAATCACAGTCTTCAGTAGTTTAAATTAAGATGAACGCTACAGGAATTTTAAGGAAATTGCTTGAGGAAATGCAACCGTAGAATGAAATAACATTCAAAGTAAATTTGTTTTCCATGGGTAAGGCGAAGACATGGACAGCCTAACTTCTTTTTTTTCCCCTGTGGAAACTGGACTCATTTCCCTTGAGTCAATTCAAGGATATGAAAAGGATATGACAAGAATTGCATCCTTTCATGTGGCTGTGAGATTTCAGACTGCTCCAGAACACAAACTGTTTTAAATATTTTAATGCCTTGATGTTTGCAGCCTTGGGAACTCTATGTAGGTGGAAAGGTGGCATATAAATGTTTTAAATAAATAAATAAAACAAACCTTCTTGGATTAATGAAATACCTTGCCAAAGAAGGTATCTGACAGGCTAATTAAATATTTAAACAATTTTATATCATTCAAAGTGCAGAGAGTCTTTTAATGTGATAATTTCTCTTACAAGGCATCATCAGCTGATTACAGACAGACAACCTTGATCCCAAGCTTCCTTATTACTGCAGTTCCTTTCATTTATCAGGTTCTCAGTTACTAAACAAAGTATCTTTACTAGACTGGCAAAGGAGAGAGGAATCATGTAACTGGCAGGATTACCAGTTTAGACAGGCCACTTACCATGTTCATATTGGTTTCTCTGTAATTTAATCATCAACGTGAAAGAACACCCAAGAAAACAAACATACAATTGTGCCATACATCGGCAAATTTAACAAGACCTGTCCAACCTCTGCATCTATGTAGTACATCCAAGACAACAGAAGGCACATGCCATTTTTGTTCTCTACAGTATAAACAAGTTTATGAAAGAGCCTTCCTTCTACCAGAACAACTTCTGCTCAAACAGACATCACGGAGGACTACCTCACTGGACAGAGAGGAAGGGGATGGGATGCCAGACAGAAAGACAGACATGTGATTGCATACATGTACAAGATAGCTGTTCCCTAGATTCTTTGAGAAGTGCGTTTGATCTGCGATCTCTTGGAAGATTCTACTTGGCTAAGAAGCAGAAGGAAGGCAACCAAGCTAAGTTCTCAGATGGGCTTGCGCTTGACTGAGGGTTTGTACTGGATCTGCAGACACCAACATTTCTTGATATTTACGAAGATGATGGAACGTGTGCATGATGGAGCTATGTTGTGCCAGTGCTCTCATGTGCTAGAACAGTTATAGGCATCTGGTAAATCTAGGTTGTATTATGTTCACTGGCTCCAAAATCTCACTCCTCCTCTTATGTCCATTTGTTAAGGCCTACTAATGCTAGCCATAGAAACCTTGCCCTGTGTTTGATCCCTGAGGCTCTTGCCCACTGAATCTGGTTGCATGCATCGGTGTCAACCTGCAAGATTTGGCTTTGTTTGCTGCAGTGAGCCCAAAGGCAAATCCATAGTGCTCGCATGTACATAACTGGCATGTACATAACTGGCATGTACATAACTGGCTTCGTTTTGGCAGTCAGTGCCCACTAACATGGTTGCACGCATCAGCCAACAGTCATGTATGTTTACAGACTAGATAAGGATGTTTTGCTTAACAGTGCCCAGATGGCATGCAAGTTTCTTGCAGTGAAGATATTCAGTTTCTTTCACTGTATATCTTTTTTTTTTAAGGGGGGGGAACTTGTCAACCCCAGGAGGAGCTATCATATAGACTGCACTACAAAAAGTTTTGTTTCAAACAATTTTTTAAAACTACATCTGCCATGTGTCTTTAGATCCAGACCATACCTACAGCCTCTGGCCCACCCTATCTCTGTTGTTAACTTTGTATTTTTATGATGAATTCTCTAACATATGAGACAGCATCATGTTTGTTTATTATCCTGCCTATTGACCATGAACATGCAGGATGAGTTATCAACTCTGGTTCTCCACTGTGTTTTCAAGCTGAAGATCAAATAAGTCTATTCAGCTGCCTGCAGTGAAAATTAAGGATGGGCACAAATCACATTTTTGTGGTTCAGTTCACAGCTGAACACGAACCGAACCACAAAATGATACATATTGGTTTGTGAGCCATTTAAAGCTCTTGATTTCTGGTTGCTGCCAAAAAACTGGGGAGCTCCCTACTGCTCAGTTGTTGTTTTTGTTTTTTTGTGAAGAGCCCTTCACTAACTGCCATGAACTACATTAAAATTCGTGGAAGTTCATGCTGGTTCTTTAGTTCGCAGACATTGCTTTGTGAACCACGAACGTGCCAAAATTCATGGCAAATTTTAGTTTGTGAGCTGGTTTGTGCCAATCCCTAATGCAAATATCCTGTGAACAAAGAGCACCTTTAAAAAAGACTCCTAACTTTCATGACAGATTCAGACCATTGTTCAGAAAAGTGCAAAGGGTAGGTGCATGCCAGTGATATTTTTAAATCACAAAGCTCCTCCCCCTTCAAATCTTTTGACGTGTTCTTTATAAAACTGTCCTATGAGGGTTTCAAAAATTTGTCATCTCCTGAAGTTACCATGGGCCTCAAAAACAAAGAGTGGGGGGAGAGAAGAGGAAAAAATATAAATAGGCTTGTTAAATATTGGGTAGCCAATGAAGCACTCCTACTCAAAGTGCCGATCACATCCATAGTCCCCCGTACTATAGGACAGGACAAAAAATTAGTAATGTAATGAAGTTTAATAATTTGCATAAAAATGGCATTTATATCGTGTAAGCAGACAAAGCAGAGGCTTGGATCCAGTGTTCCTGCGATTGTAAACTATTGTGTTCATGGAACGTAATCTTCCCTCCTCCCATGGCAGCCTGAAATGCTCCCCCAAATTCTGTTCCTGGGGGCCCCTTCTCCCCTGGAACAGGACTTCAGGAGACATGTTAAGCTGCTGGTAGGCGCAGGGGAAATTGTGCTATATAAGCACGATTAGCAGAAGCATAAGTGTGGATCCAAGCCACAGGTTGCATGTCCAGGCCATTTTCTACTTTGAAAGGCTTTAGCTTTTGTTCTCCAAAAGTCGCAAAGGTGGCAGATGTCCCATGGTGGGCAGCTGTAAGAAAGGAGATTTAGCATTTTTTTGGCTGCTATCTTATTACAGAACCTTCCCTAACCAGACAATCCGAGAAATGTGAAAGTTGTCTGGAACAGAGGGTGACAGAGGATTTATAGAAGGGGAGATACATAAGGGATGTACTGAATAAGGAAGGGTCTGGATTAAAGAGATCTGGAGAAGTGAGGTTTTACTGGATTTTACCTTGTCTGCAGCAATGGTGCTAAATTACCATGGTATTGATAGGGGGCCGCACTGTAAAAGAAATATTGCAGAAAAAAAAATATATAGTTTGGTATGTTTTTTTTAATTCTGATAGTCTCATCTCTGCCTGCAGCTGAAGAACACATTTCTTCCCCCCTAGGTTTATACACACTAGCACAAGATGAGAAGCATTCAAGTGAGATGTACAGCAAGAGCAAGAGTAATTAATTTCACACTGTTGTACGTCTAGACTGGTGGGTTAGGTAAGTGTAACATGAAATAGCGATAAGCAATCTCATCTACCCAACAGACCACGCCCATTTTCATTATACCTTCTACTTCCACAGTCTCAATTTTCCCCCATCAGGCTCTACCCTGTGGCATGAATAATGAAATAGCTTATGGTCAAGAAACATATATAGCCATTAGAGATAGACCTTGTTATTGGTCTTTATTCTTTAGCTCTTTTTTTAAAAGCTTCCCAAATCCTATTTACAGTTAACCTGGATGGATTTTGGCCATTGTGAGTCAAAGATCTTTTGTTCTATCTGTTGCCGGTCCAATTCGTAGGCCAGACTACATATTTAATGACAGGTTTTAAACATAGGGGCATGCAGTTAGTAGGTTATGCTGCCTACCCAGGGGAGTAAGGAGCAGAAAAGAGTTGAAAGATTATGCAGAAAAGCTATTTTTGGAACAGAACAGTTAGGAAGGCTAGAAAAAAAAGATGGCAGCCGTATTATAAAAGAGGCAAGCAAATGATTGGCGCAGAAAGGAAAATAGGTGGAATTCTAATTAAGATGGAGCCACCAGAAAGGCAGATGCACAAAGAAAGTTTCAGTATACGTCTTTAGCACCATTCTTTTTTTTTTTTTATCTCCCTTGACAAAGTCATCAAGTTTTAAGTGTCCAGATAGTAATAACTTCCCAAAATTAAAGGAAAGGCCAGATTACTGCCACAGGAAAACCCAGGTGTTGAATTTTAAACACAAAATGACCCAAGGAGCCATACATTGATTAACCATCTGAAAGGACAACGTAACCTGCAAAGAAATATTCTACCATCTGAATGTGCAGATTTTTTGGGGGGGGAGGGGGGCTGAGGACATAATCACCTAACAGCTGTAGGAAGAGAAAGTCAAATGGACAGAAAATGGCAGCCAATGCAGTGCCATGGAGGGCACAAGAGCCAGTGCTGCAATAGTGACTTTACCCAAGTGGGTATACTTGTGTGATTCAAGCTGGCATTTGGTAGTAAATAGTGTGATCTAGCTGCTGGTTGAGGATGTTTTTCACACCACAGATTCGGAGAGCCAGTTTCCCCCCATGCCATCATCAGCCAAAGGCCTTGAGACAGCCTAATCAGAAAACATTACCCACCTGGTCAAGTCTTCAATGTCTACCAGCATGGCATCCTGTTCTGTGTGCAATTCATCTCGAATAAGCAGCAGTTGCACAAGTTCTTCATTCAAGCCTGACACCAGAAAGGGGTGGGTGGGTAGGGAGAGATGATAAAAAATTTAATTTTCATTTAGTCATAGCCCCTACACAGTGACTAATCTGTAGAGAAATCCAACAACTTGTGCAAAGACAAAAATGAACACCTACATTTGGACTGAATATAGTTGGGGAGGCTGATAAAGTAATAGCTTGAGAACAGTGACTATTACTGTTAACAACAAACATCAATTAAAACATCAATATATGACTACTGTATGGCTCATCATGAGATAATCAACAATTAAAAGGCCTGACCTGCGGAAGCAAGCCATGTCCCACCTGGCACATCCTTACTTGCTGGAGGCAATGGAAAAATCTTCAGATCTAGATGTGTGATGTACCATGCTTGTCCTCGGTGGTGCTGGGGGAGCTCACTATCTGAGGTTTTCCAGAGGACAGAATGCTGCGTTTATTTTACTACCACAACAGCTGGCAATTGTGTGAGGGCATGCCACTACGTCATGCCCAATTCATGCCAGGAGAAAACAACAAGATGAGTATCTCTTCTCCTCTAATCAGAAGAGTTCCTGATTGTATCAGGATGACACAATAAAACATTACCTAAGCTTTTGCAGTTTTGCAGCACTGTAGCAGATATTTAAATTCTCTTTCATCTCAGTGGGGTCAACGGGTGCATATTATATGCCAGACAAAAAAAGTTAGGAACATGCATCCTTCATCTGTCTGTTTAAGAAGCAATTTGCAAATATATAACATGTTTTTCATGTTTTATAAGCCGGGGGATGTGTAAAGGTAAACCACCTGTGCCATATACTTGAGTGCCTTCCCGTGTTAATTTTGTGCTTGTTCACTGTAGACAGTTTAAAAACAATTCCAAAACATTTTGGAAAGAGTGGTTTTTCATTTTCCTACTTTCAGATAGTTATCCAATATGCGAGCTTCACATGCAAATGGAGAAGTTTTAACAGCACATTTCAGTAGTATCCAATCTCTTCTCCCTCCTTCCATCTGATCATGACAGCAGGGACATGATCCTAATGTCTAAGAGGGCCACTTTGCACCTACATTCGTTATTGTATGACAACTTAGTACCATGGACACAAGCAAACACTGAGCCCAGGCAGATAAAAATGTGCCTATATCCTAACTACAGTTAAGGAATTGGAAGTAGCCTGCAAAATGTCCTGTAACCCTCTCTTTCCTGCCTGCTAAACTGTGAATTCTCTCCGCAGACCAGATCAAAAGGATATGCAGTTAGCGTTAACCATGGGTTTGCTGCCATGCTGGCGTAAAACTCTTTGCAGGAGGTATGTGTAATCCCATAGGGTCAGCTCTTGAAAGCCTGAACCATGTTTAAGGGATTAGGAACACTGCATGTACTTAAGGCCCTGGCTTTGCTGTCAGTGTAACGCATAATGTACACACTGAGAAAAATTAATCTGACTGATTCCATGTCTATCCCAAGGTAAGGGTTAGATTGGACATAAAGGGGCATAAAGAGAGCAATCCCTTTTCCTTCCCCTCCCCACAACAGGCATCTTGAGAGGTAGGTGGGGCTGAGAGCTCTCTTTCAAGAACTGCCCTTGAGAGAACAGCTCTGAAAGAACTTATGACTGACCCAAGGTCACACCAGCAACTGTATGTGGAGGAGTGGGGAATCAAACCCGGCTCTCCAAGATTAGAGTCTGTGCTCCTAACCATTACTAGTGTAGTGGTTCCATTACTGGTGTAGTGGTTAAGCGTGGTGGACTCTAATGTGGAGAACTGGGTTTGATTCCCCACTCCTCCCCATGAAGCCTGCTGAGTGACCTTGGGCCCATCACAGTTCTCTCAGCCCCACCTACCTCACAAGGTGCCTGTAGTGGAGAGAGGAAGGGAAGGTGATTGTATGAGACTCCTTAGGGTACAGAAAAATTGGGTATAAAAACTAACTCTTCTTGTTCTTCTTCTTCTTCCTTCCCTTCCAGGGTCATTTCCAAAATGGGTCGGGGGGAGAGGAGGAGTGCCTGGAGTGAGGAGGGTTGCAGGAGGGTAAGGCAGGGCAAGTTCTGATGTGCTCAAACATATGACCTATAAACCATACCAAACTGGCTGCACAAATGATTGTGGATTAGATGATATCCACTTCCCCATCCCCAACTTTATCATCACTTTAGTTTGGTGGTTAAAAGCCCCAATCAGGAACTTGGGAAAGCTCAGGTTCAAATCCCCGCTTAGCCATGAAGCTCACCAGGCAAATTTGGGCCAGTCACTACCTCTCAGCCTCATGTACAGTATTGGGTTGTTGTGAGGACATGATGATGGAGAGGAGAACAATGAATGAGTTTCTTGAAGGAAGGGAGGAACACATTTTTAAAATCCAAGAATGCCTAAATGTACACTGAGGGAAGCACACAGGGTGCAGAACAAATATATAGCTCCTGTCTTGTCTCATTTGGCCCTAAAACTAAAGGCGGCGGGGGGGGGGGGGGGGGGAGAGCAGGATGCCACACGATTACAGCTTTCTTTGAACAGGAAGAAGTAATTTGACATTGACAATGTATGACAGCTGCTCCTTCTTATTTGAAAGGGTGTGGAAAGTATGAAATATAGAGTCAAGAAGCAATTTTTCTCCAGGCCAGTTTGGCTGGAGATCCTGGAGGTTTTTTTTTTTATATCTTCTGGGCATGGAACAGGGGTCACTGGGGGCGTGGGGGGTATTTGTGAGTTTCCTGCATTGTGCAGGGGGTTGGTCTAGATTACTCTGGAGGTTCCTTCCAAACTCTTATGATTGTATGATTCTAAGAAAAGCGGACCACACAAGCCACCCTGCTGGATCAGACCAATCTAGTCTGGTGGCTAACAAGATACCCAGGAAGCCCACAAACAGGTCAGAGAGGCCAAGGCCTTCCCTATGGTTGCCTCCCAGCTGCTGGCAATCAGAGGCCTAGGTAAAGGTAAAGGTTCCCTTGCTCGATAGCCAGTCGAATCCGACTCTAGGGTTGCGGTGCTCATCTCCGTTTCAAAGCCGAAGAGCCAGCGCTGTCCGAATACATTTCCATGGTCATGTGGCCTGCATGACTAAACACCAAGGTGCACGGAACGCTGTTACCTTCCCACTGAAGTGGTACCTATTTATCTACTTGCAATTTCTTGCTTTTGAACTGCTAGGTGGGCAGGAGCTGGAACTAGAGACAGGAGCTCACTCCGTCATGCGGCACACTCGGGTCTCGAACTGCTGAACTACCGACCTTCCACAGCCTGCAGTTCAGCGTCTTAACCACTTGAGCCACCGCAGCTCCTATCAGAGGCCTACTGCTTCCAAATAGGGCTGTCCCATTCAGCCATCATTGCTAACAGCCATGAATGGGCCTATCCTATAGGAACACTTTAAAATCTTTTTTGAACCTTCAAGTGGTTTTCAAAGCATGAAGTTGTTGGCCATTGCCTTCCTCTGCAAAGCAACCCTCGTCTTATTTGGTGGTCTCCCATCCAAGCACTAACCAGGGTTGACTCTGCTTAGCTTCTGAGCTCAGACAAGTTCAGGCTAGTCTGGGCTATTCAGGAAGCTGTGAACATATTGAGTGCCAGTGTGCTTTTAGTTGTGCGGTGCTTTCTTCAAAAATTAAAAGCTAAGCCAGTTCATGGTAGAATTGATTTCTAACTATTTTCTAGCAGCTTCACTGATTCTCTAACATCCCAGCAGCAATTGCAAAGCAGCAACCAGCACTAACAGACCTCAGGGAAGAATCATTCACATCTGGCCGAACACAACTCAACCGCTTCAGCAGACAGCCACTGGGAAGGCGGTCCAATTAATTAATAAGTGTACACTGATATGGACTATAGAGTGATCTGCTAGTATCTGGACCTTCCCCAGACTACAACTCATTAATTCACATTCCTGATGGCAATGAGGTTTCATTGTGAAAGCTCGAATGAAGCAAACTCCCAAAGACATATAATGCCTTGACCATGGCAAAAAATGAAATCACCTATTCGTGGATTTACAACTGGGGTCTGGTGGCACCTTAAAGACTAGAAACATTTATTCTGGCATAAGCCTTCATGAGTTAGAGCTCACTTAATCAGATGCATTGAAGTGTACGTCTCTAAGATCAATATTTTATATATACACACAATTGAGAGGACAGTTTAAAACAAGATCCATTAAAAAGAGTTCACTCAGAGCGGGTAAGAATTACAATCAATCTTTGATAGACAGAACAAATAAAATTTAAAATAAAACCTTGTGCAAGAGAAGCAGATAACAATAGGAGCTTGCAGAGAAACAGCCGAACTAACTGGTATCTGTAAGAGGCAGGGTATGCAAGGCAGGGACGATCTGATCTCCCCTTTATTTATGTTTCCTCTCTCCAGAAGCAAAATCATCCTGGTTACTTAGAGACGAAGACAAACAAACTACTCTGCGTGTTGCAAAATTTCTAGCAGCTGTTATCAAACCACATGGCAACTTCTGCAGTAGGAACCTTTAAATTCTTCCACGTTTTCCTGTGGAACGAGGTTTATTGTGGAATGAGGGTTTGCTGTTTATGACTCCAGTTGCAAAAACAGTAAAGACAATAAATAAGGCATGCAAGACACTAGCACCTATAGCAAGTGAGAAATCCCAGGTCCCTGTCAAGAGTTGGGGAGGGGGGACAGTCTTGAATATATTAAGGAATTCTATTTCAGCAGTTTTACATGGAATGCAGCAAGGAGAATGATTGAATCTCTTCTCCCTTATCTATATACAGGTCCTGTGTAGAGGAAGTAGGAGTGTAAAGTCCTACTTGTGTGGTCAGAACGTTCATCTCACACCAATGGATATAAGCCCCCCCCCCCCGACTTGGATCAGTATATCTCACAAAACTGAAGAGAATACTCATAGTTACGGACTAGTGTTGCAAAGGTAACTGAAAAGAGGAAGACACACGAAGGGCAACCTTCTTTGCAAATGGACATTAGGCTAAGCAGGTAGGGAACATCTCTGATGTAACACATGGAACTCAATAAGCACTGTTAAACAATTCTCCCTGTTTGTATCTTAATGAGAAATGCAAGGGTAAGGTGAGCCTCAACCTACTACTGAATTCTTGCAAAAGAAGCCTAATAGCATCTTGCTTAAATTCTTGCATAGGGAATTGTTTTTCTTCAGAGAATTCTCTTGGGATCCTTTCTCTGAAAGGATTTTTTCCACCCATGTTTGAAACCATGTGCTGGTATTGCTTTTCACAGGCATCTTTTCCTTCTTCATTTAAGTAGAGGCACCATACATAATGAAAGGAGAATATAACAGCAATGCAGAACTATTTTCCCACTTACTTTCTATCTGAGAATGTAGATCATTGACTATCACTTGCAGCTGCCCAATTGTCATATCTCTCAGGTCTGTAGGCTTTAAGCTTCTCTTCATCAAGCATTCACTTATATGAGGCATATGTGGCAGCTAAAGACAGAATTAAAAGCCTTTTAGGCCAGGGACACACATTTTACAAAAAACAAAATTTCTTTTGCACATTTTCTTAGTATTCCTTCTAATAGCAAACAATAGAGCCACTCACAGACAAACTAAGGGATTCCCCTAATACATAGAAAAAATAACTTTAAAAGTGACTGTGATGTAGTGGTTAGATTTATTAACTTATTGGGATTTATATCCCCCCCCCCCCCCCCAAGATTGTAGGACTAGGGACTGGAAAGACCTGGTGCTAGAAATCCCCATTCTGTCATGGAACTTGCTTGGTTACGATGGGCCAATCACTTTCAGCTTAACTTACCTCACCAGATGTTGTGAAGATAATGAATAGTGTCCTGAGCTTGTTGGATAAAGAGGTACTAAATAAATACAAACAGCCCTCCTCCCCTCCCCCCGCCACAAGCTCCAGCCTGATGAGGACTGAGGATTCTTGCTGCTCACCAGGATGCAAAGAATGTTGAGGGAAGTTGATATGGCTTGCCCCTAAGAGTATTCAAAGCTATTTATTTCTCTCTCCCTATACAACATACACATCCCTATAGGGACAGAATGAGCTCCTTCTGTTGCCCAAGCAATTGTGTAACAGTATATGAACAATAAGGCCTAAACGAGACATCAAGACTGGTGTGAGTTGGGTCAGGCTAGCCCTGACAAGAGTCTGACATTTTCAAAGTCAAATGTGACATCAGGGAATGGGACAGGGCCCAGTTCTGCGGCATGGGGGGAGTAGAAGCTTCAGCCTTCTTCCCCACGCTCTTTTCCTAAGCAGAAACATCCGGGGGGCGGTATTTGCCCCGCTGAGGAGGCTCCATATGCAGTATTCAGTTTCAATAGTTACTGGGAGAGGGGTATCCCAGTTTTTTTTTAATTCTCAACTAGCATTAATAATAACAACATAGATTTTATATACAAATGCATCAAACCAGATACCGTGTAGTTTTTTCATTCAACAAACCAATAGATATGTTTACCATAAACTGGTTCACACACACAAGAGAATGAATTGGAAATAAGGTGGCAGGGTCCCAAAGTGGTAAAATGGGTTATACCACTTCAGACTGTGGATGGTAGAATCCAGCTTCAAATGTTCCTTTTCACTACTGTATTAACCCCCCTCCAATCCAATAAAAAACTTGCACAGCAGTGAAAAACATTCAGTTTCCTTTCTTTGCTTGTTATTCCCATTTTCTATTTGCAAAGAATTTATTGCCAAAATATGATTCTCCACAACAATTTTTACTTATTTAGGTACAACACTTACAGCCGCCCTGAGCCTGCTACGGCGGGGAGGGTGGGATAAAAATTTAATAAAATAAATAATAAATATCCCGCCTTTCTGCCTTATCAGGGTAATCTGAAGCAATGCTCATCATACTGCCACCACATAAGCCGACAACTTCATTCCTTTGCATTTATGAACTGGGCTTAGGAATCTGTAATACACCAGGGTACCAAAATGGTATTTTATGTACAATCTAAGTCCAGTGAGGTAAGTGGGTTTAGAATGGTATAACTCTGTTCAGGACTCCACTAAGATCCAATCTACACATGCAAGAGATTCCTATGAGGGCAGCTCTTCCTGAACTGTATTGGTCTGGGCTACAAGTATAATGTCTCATATTTGCATGCCCTCCAATAACCAACACCCCCCCCTCCACGCACAGCAGAATCTAACTATACAATTTTTATACATTTTTTATTCCACAAAGGGCATAGAAATATTTTCAAAATTTCATTCTCATTATATTTACTTAAAAAAAAACTTTTATATACTACATCCTGAATTGTAAATATAACGAGAATATAATGAGAATGTTCTAATTTAGCTTCTGTATTAGTTTTAAACATTCTTATTATATTTATAATTCAGTATAACAATATGCCCACTTTTGTATGGAAATCAGTAGTTCCAAATGGGTGCAGATCTGGGGAAGTTTGGAAAGCACTGGCCTAATACAGGGTGAGAGAACCACCACACAGGTACCCTGGAAGGAGATGTCAAAAGGCATAATCAGAGACCATTGGCTTTCTAGAGCTCCCTGTTTTATTATAAGGAGGTTTTAAGAATCTGTTCAACAAATTCACAGAAAACAGCACTTTGCTGCTGCAGCAATCCTTGGACATGCTACTGTAAAACTTACTAATTATGTTTAAATATGTTTAATACAAGTTTAAGCATTGGTTTCTAAAAATTATTTCTATAGGTCAAGTGGAACCTCAATGCTTTCCAAAGTTACACAAAAGGAAGGGAATTACGGGAAGCTAGGTGACACTCAAAATGGAAATTTCTGGCAGGTGATACATTCTTTTAATGCAATACGTACAAGGTCAGCTACTGGAGATTTCTTCCTGTTTTGCTTTTCTACCTCTACTTGCATTTTGGCCATTGGTTTTGCCATTGCCAAGGCCATTTTGGCTTCAGCTTGAAGTTTCTTTTGCCTGGTAAGAAAGTCCATGTCATCTAGGGACTCCGACTCCTCTTCAGTAGTGTCTCTGTCAGAATAGGAAGAGCTCTGCTTGCTCTAGGAAAAGGACACAACATATGCACACATGTTAGCACTGATTTCTGATACATGGAGCAGGCTTATCCAGCTAAGAAGATACTCTCTCAGTTAGCCAGTTAAAATAAGCAACATTGCCACTACTATAAGCAAATTATACCAGTTTGGTGTAGTGGTTAAGTGCGCGGACTCTAATCTGGGAGAACCGGGTTTGATCCCCCACTCCTCCACTTGCACCTGGCTGGATGACCTTGGGCAAGGCATAACTCTGGCACAGCTGTTCTTGAAAAAGAGCAGTTTCTGTCAAGAGGTCTCTCAGCCCCACCTACCTCACAGGGTGTCTGTTGTGGGGAGGGGAAGGGAAAGGAGTTTGTAAGCCGCTTTGAGACACCTTTGGGTAGTGAAGGGCGGGGTATAAATCCAATCTCTTCTTCTCTTCTTCTTCTTCTGACCTGATTGGGTTCATAACCAAACCGGACATCCAATCTTGGCTGAATCAGAATATTTTAATGGCTCAATCCCCAGTTAGATCCTTGGCATTCCCAGTTAAAAGAATATCAGATAGCAAGACTGGAAAACACATCTGTCCTGAACTGCTGTTAATCCAAGTGGATGGACCTAGGTGAGACTACATCAACTTGACCTAGTTAAACTGTGTCAGCTTGTCTGTGTAAATGCTGTCAAGTTGCAGCTGACCTATGGCAACCGCATAGGGGTTTCATGGAATGATACATTCAGAGGTGATTTGCCATTGCCTTCTTCTGCATAGTGACCCTGGAACTCCTTGGTGGTCTCCCATCCAAATACTAACCAGGGCTGATACTGCTTAGCTTTCATGATCTGATAAGACCATGCTAGCTTGGGCCATCCAGGTTAGGGCCTAGTTAATTGGCCATGTCTAAAAGCCATCACTAGCCGCAGGATATTACTTTTGGGCTGGCTTGCACACAGGCCAGGGACACAGCTAGTCCACAAAGTGCAGTATGGGAATTAGCCTTGGAATCATGAATAGGGTTGCCAGCTCTGGGTTGGGAGATACCTGGAAATTTCAGGGCTGGAGCCTGGGGTTTGGGGAGGGACCTCAGCAGGGTATAATGCCATACAGCTCACCCTCCAAAGCAGCCATTTTCTCCAGGAGAACTGAGCTCTGTTGTAATTCTGGGAGATCTCCAGCTCTCCCAGCTAATTGGTTACAGTAAACACCTGGAGGTTGGCAACCCTTTTCCTGAACAATCTATCAACACACACAGAAGTGGAGAAGAAATGGGGAAGAGCTATTCTGCAAAGCCTGCAGTAGCTAAGTAACATCTAGCTGACTTTCCCCCTCTCTGGCTCCACAGATATTTAAGGCATGGCAGAGGCATTTTCTGGAAGGGGAAGAAATGTGTAGAAGCCTGTCAACTGGCTGGTAGCAACTGGATAACATCCAGCTGACTTTGTTTGCCTCGTACTCCACAGGTATCCAAAGGCCTGGGTGTGCCCAGAGGTGCAAGCCCCTTGGGCTTGAGCCAAAGGAAAGAGGGTCACAGGCTTGAGTTGGCAGATTGTTCATTTAGGAGAGAGAGGGGAAGACCTGCTCTGCACTCACAACCCTGTTCCCCCCTTCTCTTGTCTATTTCTGTAATTTTTCTGTATTGTAAGCTGCTTTGGGTTCCCCTGGGGGACAAAAGTGGGATACAAACAAACAAAAAAGCTTAATGGGAACTGTGACCTATGCTTTTCATTACAGGCTGTAAGTAACCTTTAATAAACTAACAAACTTGGCAAAGAAAGCTTGAAAATGATGGAACATCAGCTAAATTGTCTGCCATTTGGAAAACTGATGGCTCCCTTACCTCCCCAGTTCTGACCTTCTCCAGAGCTACAGTCCTTCTGTAAGATTGCAACACAAACTCACCATGGGGGACAAAGGAGTATCCAGACTTGTTTCAGTCTTGCTGTCATCTGCATCACTGTCTTTATCACTGCCACTGTCATTTACAAAACAAATTTGCAAATTCATCCCACTTTGTAACCTTAAAAAAAGAGAGAGAAGAGGCAGATATAATAAGGGATGACATTACTAAGCACAGCTTGTTTCTCATGCCTGAGCATTCTCCTTGCTCCTTCCTCCCTGTATGGTGCATGACTAAGGAATCACACTCTGAATGTACTTATGCAGGTGATTGGGTGAAACAAGCTGAGTCCAAGCCCGTCACAGCAAAGTGAAGTCAAGTGCGATGGCTGAACACAGACATGGTAATTCTTTCTCCACATTAGCTCCACAAAGATACAAGATATACTAATTGTTGTAAAAGTATTGTAGAGCTACCTGTTCCAGCCAGGATTATTTATGGTCTTTAAGGCAGCCAACTAGCTTAACCTTCTAGTGCTATTGCCAACCTAACTTAGAGAAGTCATGTAGGAAACCTACAAGTAATTAGGGCAATTTCCCCCCAATAAAATTAAATAGAAAAAAGAATCAAGAAGTTTTACACATATAGGGGCAGATCAAGGTGGGTAGCCGTGTTGGTCTGAAGCAATAGAACAAAGTTAAAGTCCAATAGCACCTTTAAGACCTTGAATAAAACTTTGTTGGTCTTAAAGGTGCCATTGGATTCTAACTTTATTACATTTAGGGGCAGTTATTACTGCAGCACGTAGATTAAACAAGGGAAGGGAAATTTTAAATAAGAAAGGAGTAAATTATATATATTTAACCATCAAAACGGGGAAAAATACGAAGAAACACTTCAACAGCACATTTTCTTTGTTTTTTGAAGCTCTTTACACGTGAACGTCCTCATCTCACCCTGTTTCTCAAGCCACATTGCTTTCTTGCAAGTCCCATCACCAGATACCAAATTTACAGCAATGCTTTTGCTGATTATCTCCGATGTCACATTCCCCCAAGCTTTCCCAGTTCTTCGTAACCCCCCCCCACACACACACCCCCTGATTCTCACTATTGTTTTGTCAACACAACTGCACCCATGTTCACTTTTGGTCTGCCTACACAAGACAGAAACCCTAGACAGAATGAAAATATTGTTAACCGCATAAAGAACAGTAATATTGGTGGTGTGAAACAGAATGGTTGCCAAGTGAAGATGGCAATTGTACATCCTGCCTGCCGTTTAATCCAAAAGTGGTTGTTTAAAATGGCAGAATGTAAAAGCAGAATGGGGGGGGGAGTACAACCCAAAATTCAGTGTGAAACAAATTCACTAGTCAGCAGCATAAGGATGCTCTGCGTTGGCACCAACATTCTGGTTAAATAAAAATTTCACCAGCTCTCTTATACAGTAATGCCTCCTCTAAAGCTGTGCTTATGTTTCTGAAAACAGCATGCCACTTGAAACCGGTATCCATAATACTGGTTCTAATTTGGGTTGCCAACATCCAGGCGGGACCTAGAGATCTCTTGGAATTACAACTGATCTCCAATGTACAGAGATTAGTTCTCCTGAAGAAAATGGCTCCTTTGGAGGTCAGACTCTATGGCAATATATCCTGCTGAGGTCCCTCTCCTACCCAAACCCGGGTTCCCCGGGCTCCACCCCCAAAATCTCCAGGCATTTTCCCAACCCAGAGTTGGCAACCCTTGTAATGGGGAATGTGTCCACAGGATTGTCATTCCTTACATATGAGTGATCTATGAGGTGGCAACTGGAAGAAGAAACACCAGCTGACTGCTTGTCAGACTCCTATGGTGAAAGGTCCTGGGAAGCCTGTCTGGGCTGCCTTCCACGTGAAGGCCTCCTCCTGGGACAGCCCCGCAGGCCCTACTGAGGCCCTGTTCCTCAATCATGCAGGTCTTTTATAGATCTCTGAGGCAGATGAGAGGAAGCTCTCTGCTGTCCCTTTTGGCCTAGCTGTATTTACTTCTAGTTGGGCCGATTATGCAGGAGCACTGCTGCCTAGCCCCCCACATTTTAAAAAAAAGTTATACCCAGGACAAATGGTGCTGTAACAAAACAACTTTATAGAAACAGATGGGAAGTATCCTAAATACTGTGGGTATTTAGGATATTTCTACACTGCCTTTCGACAAAATGATCCTGAAGCAGTTTTAAGAGTAGCAAAAACAGACAGTTTATTACCACTGAGAATCCCGTTCTTGCCCTTCTTATTACAGATGGCAGGAAGTGGCTGAAGCAAGAAGAGAGAAAGAAACGAGGATCCTTTAATATTGCCTTCTTCATGTCCGAAGAGGCTGTACAACCATTGGTTGCATTGTTTCTCCTAAAGGGTCTTCTTAGGAGATTTCTGAGGGGAGTGTTGGACTAGCAACAAACAGTCTGAAGAGATATTATTCTGTCTCCAACTGTTCTATGAAGAAGCTGTAACGTTCACCGCATTCTATGAAAACAAGCAAGGGACTGGAGGAGGAGAAGATTGGATTTATACCCCGCCCTTCACGCGGAGTCTCAGAATGGCTTACAATCCCCTTTCCCTTCCCCTCCCCACAACAGACACCCTGTGAGGTAGGCAGGGCTGAGAGAGCTCTTTCAAGGACTGCCCTTGAGAGCTTTGACAGAACTATGGCTTGCCCAGATCATAATATGCAGCTGCAAGTGGAGGAGTGGGGGATCAAACCTGGTTCTCCCAGATTAGAGTCCACGCACTTAACCACTACACCAAACTGACTGCGAGGACTTGGTTGGGGGAGGATCTCCTTTCTCATCCACTATTTCCTCTTTCCC